GACCGCTGAGAAACACACGTAAGACACAGCAGATCTGAACGAAATCATAAAGGTTAGTAACACATCCACATGCACCCACCCCTGCCTGGTGTCTAGAAGGACCTTCAGGATGGCCCGTTATTCACCCGCCCCTCACTCCCCCTGCTCCCACCACTCTGGCCTGCCCCGTGTCCCAACTATGCCAAGCTCCTTCCCTCCCCGGCAATCTTGCACTTGGTGGTCCTTCTGCGTGGACCCTCCCCAGGATGCTCACCTGGCTGACTCCTGGTCACCCTCCAGGGGTCACTTCTCAGAGGGACCTCGCCTCCCCACAGCAACATCACACTGCCCTGTCGGATTCTCTTCGTAGCTTCTTACTCCTGCCCCCAAATCGTTTACTGAGTGGCCTGCCCTTGTTCACTCTTGTATCCTCAGCGCCTGCAACAGCACCTGGTACAGGGCAGGTGGTCAACACATGGTCCTGCATGACCACGAAGGAAGGCAGGAGGGAGGAGGAGAGAAAAGGTGTGAATCCCGAAGTGGGAAGTCGTGTTTCAGGCAGTAAGAGAATGGTGAAATGCCAACGCGAAGGGGGAGAAGGAGGGCAGGTGAGATTTAACAGAGGCAGGAGCAGATCATTCAGGTAGACCCCGATGGGCCTTGTTAAAGATTTTCGTCTGAAGAGTAAGACCGATGAGGGGCCTTGGAAAGGCTTCAGAGTGTTACAATTAGGTTTGTATTTTTTAAAATATCACCCTAGATCCAACATGAAAAATGAATCACAACAGAACAAGAAAGGGTGCAGGGCGACTAGTTAGGGGCCACCTTGGTGGCTCTGACAATCGAGGAGGCTGTGTGACCACCAGCATGGCAACATGTAGGAACGACGGGGTGGCCTGCGGGACCCATGGCGATTCTGAGGAGGGAGGGAGAAGGCGACATGCCAAGGCAGACTCTAGACGTTTGGCAGGCGGCTGGGGAAGCAGCTTTCACTAAAACACTAGAAGGCGGCAAAGGGGTAGATCTGGTGAGGAAGATGAGGATGGACTTTGGACATATTGGCTGGGGGGGCTCTTGGGTGCCCAGTGGAACTTCCCAATACACAGCTGGGATTCAGAGATGTCTGGACTAGAAGAAAACAGAGATTAAAGAGACCTCATTAAACAGTAAGACCTGACGAAGACTGGAGAGGTGGAGAGAAATAGAGAGAGAAGCCTAGGAGGATTCTACATTTCGGATATGAGCCAGTGAGAGAACGGACAAGGCGCTGACAGAGCCCAGGACACAGCAGAGGTGGGACACTCAAAGAATGCCAAAATAATTGGGCCCTGCTCTAAAACTGCACAGGACCCAGATGAGCTATAGCAAAGGACTGGGCTTGGAGGGGGTGGCCAAAGCCTCAGAGAGAAGCGTTTCAAGCCAGACTTATAGGGAGGCACTTGCTCTCAAATTTCTATGAATTGGGAAGCCATGCTTCCCACGAAGCAAAATGACTACATTTCTCAGCCTCCTGTGGAAACAGGAGTAGGTATGGCCATGTGACATTTCATTAAAACAGAACCGGATGCATTCTTCCCCTCCTCCTTTCTCCACCCTACTGCTTGAAGCATGGATGAGATGGCTGGAGCTCTAGCAGCCATCTGGTCCCTGAGGATGAGAGCGAAACCCAAGGGACGGCAAAGAAATGAGCTAGAAAATGCCTGAGTCTCTGACAATTTCATGGAACCTCCACACCTCTCTCAGGCTGCTTACTTACAAGCTCCTTTTAAAAGAGAGAAATAATCTTATTTAAGCCACCACCATTTGAAGATATTCTGTTATACACGGTCAATCGTAAGCCTGACCAGAACACTAGCCAACTGGTCTACCACGTCCCATTCATTGCTTCCCCCTTGTCTTAGGTCACGTCATTGCCCTAACAGGGACTATCCTCCCCCTTGCCTGTATTTACTTAAATCCTGGCCGTCCTTCGGAGGATGGATCAAATTCTGCCTCCCACCCGAGATTTCCCTTCCTCTTCCTCCCCTGAACTCTGGCGCTGTCTGCCTGCCCCCACTCCTTGGGCATCTGGCCTCTGCTGCCCTCACAGAGAGTGATTCCCCTTTCCATACTTACCCTCTGGCTCCTCTGTGGGGCTCAAGGTCACCAAGGGCAAGGCCCAGGCTTCCAGGACCTTCCACTGCCTGGCATCTGATACGAGGTCAGAACGAATGTGCCTGCACCGAGCCTCTCTTACCTCTGCCTGCAGCCAGGATCCAGAGGAGGCCAGAAAGTATGTAAATAAATTTAGAAAAATGAGAAGGCAGGCAGAGTTGCAGTCAGTTAGTAAGAAATCTAAATCTACTTCCAATATCGAGAAGTAGCTCAGGGAAAATATCCGAGGTGCTTCCTCCAAACTCTATAACTTAGATGTTAGACTGTCTCGTGGCACAACACCAGGAGGTGCCGCTCACACAGAAAACAACACGAATGATGACCCCCGCAGAGAGGTGCGGTGCCACGGGCCTGCACACAGAAAAACAAGTTCCTCTGGAAACAGAAAGCAAGTCACAGAAACCAACACGCTTGCAACATATTTTTCACAAATCGGTATCCATAACAAATGACTTCTGATTACTGAACAAGTATTTTTTCAAACATTATCTAAGATCAAATATAGACAAGGTAAATGGTTTGCAGCTAACACAGGCCACTTGTAAAGGCAGCCTGAAGTTTTTAAGAATTCCATATTTTTTCACCTTATTGTCCACCACAGCAATTGCTCAACTCAACGGAAGAGACAGAAGAGGCCCCTGAGGATTCACCGCTCGAGCTGAAGCTGTGACACCCACTGCTGCGTCAGGCGGATGTCAGCGGCGGCGACTGCTACTGGGGACGTGCACAGGAAACTTCTAGTTTAGAATCAGCCCGAGTGGAGACAAACCCAGCTCGTTAAGGGGTGTGTCCAGATTCCTCCAAATGCCCTTACTGTGAAAGCTGAGAAGGCAGATGTGGAGGGGGGACACTACGGGGTCCCCACAGAAAGCAACCAGGCGGATTTGGAACCCACACTAAAGACCCCGCAGTCATTTGTAAATGCACCCAAGAAGATGAGCTTGGCACATAAGGAACAAGTTGAGAGATGAGAAGCTTCCCGATTAAAATAACACTAGTGCCTCTTGAGATCTGCTTATAGCACCAGCTGACAGCTATTCGCAGCCTCAGAGACGCAACATACAGGTCAGTACGAGACTACAGGCAATATCGCTTTCCTTCCTGCAGACAGTTGCAGCACAATTTAGCATTTCCTCCGCCGCCTCCTTTCTGCTGAAACTCAGCCGGGTTTTAATACGCCTGCCAAAACTGCCCCCTTCTGGGCCTAAGAGTCCAGGATACCGTGCCAACCCGCGTTGCCAGATGCCACTTGGGGACAGCGCCTGTGGACACCGAAAGCCTTCCCTTTTCGGGTTGAATCACCACTTGTGACCACCAGGTGTCAGTAGCGAGCGGGAAGACTCCCATACCGAGGCTTCAGGGAACTGCAGCCAGACCCCAAAGGGGGAGAAACTAGATGCTGTGGCTTTGAGGACAAGGAGCACTACGGTCACATTCTCAGGCACTCACGAGTATTTCATTCACTTGGTTGCCAATTCACCATGTAAACTAACCGTGTAACCTCTCAGATGGCTTCAATTCAATGTATTTCACACACTCAGAGAAAGATTAAACACTGCTCCCTTCAATAGGACTGTCATCTTTTCCCCCATCCCCCTGGGAAGGTGAAAACATAAAGCAGCATTTCCTACTCCTTGCCCATCCTCCCCATAAAAATTACCAAATGCGTATTTTAGCAGTTTCTATTTATACTGTGGCTCGAGGTGTTCGCTTTGCAATGCTTCAGCAACACACTTGGATACTACTGGGTGCAGAGCCCATAGGAGGGAAAGTCCAGCAAAAACATGACTGTGCAAAGGCAGAACCAAGGGCCACTTCCCTGTCTGCTTTATTGAGCTGGATCTAAATTGGCCTCCCTTACCAGGTGTAGTGTCTTGAACATAAATATTCCATCTGTGAATAGCTGCAGCAACATTTAAAGGTGTACTTTATTGGCCTTTTGAGCCCTGCCATATCTCTAGCTACTTTCCTGTCCAGGCTGAGGACACATCCTTTGGAACGCACGACCATGCTGAGCCAGACCTATGGGGTCTCACCTAGTCTCTGTGGCCTACCCAGCCACCAAAACAACACGTACTATTTACCTCTACCATCCACATCCAAAGACGCAGTGTTCCTGCTGGGCGCTCCTCCCCTCTGGGTATTTGGGGTATCTAGTGGGTGTTTCCACTGCTAACTGTCCCTTAACTTGACCCTAGTAAAGCTTGGTTTCCAAATCTCATAAGCAAAGGTGCTGAGGACAAAGGAGGAATGCAGTCTTCTAGATGAAGGACCCCCCACCCTCAGCTTAGGGTTTTGCAAATAGCTTCAAGTCTCCATTTTGCAACAAGGAAACACTCAAAGGTTTTGATGCTACCTGGCACCACTGAGGCTCAAGATCTGGAAAGGTAGTGTTGTAATTGGGGAACCCAAAGCTGGCCCAACCTTCCATGAGACAGCCCCACCATCACTGCAACAGGAAGAGGCAGGACATTTCTGAATAGAGACAGCCACCAAACCAAAGATGTCCATTAGATCAAAGGTCTCAATGGGGTCTTCCTAAGGCTTAGCTATCACACCACTTGGATTGCTTACCTGTGTCCACATTTTTTACTCACAAAAAAGCCTTACACTAAGTGATCCAGAGGTAGTTAAGGGCACGTCTCTAGGTGGAGAGAATCACAGTGATACCCAGGGTCTTAGCTTACACAGTGAGATCGCTGCCCCTCCCCCTTAATCTTGGATCCATGCTCCCTGTCACATCCCACCCCACCCCAGCAATGACGTTCTAGCTCGTGTCTTCCAAGAATAAATGTTTCTGGGTCTGGACTGAGAAATGTGTTATAGACATCGAAGGATGAGCTTGTGGAGCACAAAGCCAGTCTCACCGTTTGGGGATGATGAGAAACAGTGGTGGACGTTTCCCGAGGAGGAGGTGCTACAGTTCTGCCAGAGATCTGTCGCATGTCCGTTGCCCACGATCCATTGCTAGAAAGAATCAAACATCCTGAGTCAGGGGGGTGGTGAGGGGCGAAGGAGCGGGGCAGGGAGAAGGCAAGAGCAGCCTCATCCACCCGGCCACCCAGCCTGCCATTCACCCGCCTAGTGCTGCACGGCCAGAGCCCACTCCCAGGGTAAGTTCACAGTCATGTCCCAGGAACAAGAGAGATGGCAGTCCGGTACAGGCAGCACGCCGAGGTGAGCGCCAATGTCTTGTAAATTAAAAGGACTTTGTAATGGAAAATATCTCTCACACACACACACACACACACACACACACACACACGCAGCTACTGGGTGCAGAGGTGTATGCTACAGAGGAGGCACCATAGACACAACCCGGGACACCTGTATCCAGGCCTCCTCTCCTCCCCTGACCTCTGGGTATCATGGCCCAAGCCACCACCTCTCCGAGTCTATTTCCTTACTTCTAATTCCTATCGATCTGACAGGGCACAATGAAAATGTTGTGAAGATGCTACTAAATGACAAACCAACTCACAAATCCCCAGTGTAATTATTTCTCACATAGACTAGAAAATCATGCTTATGACTTGCCTTAAATTAAGTTAAAACCACCACTACATGAGTGCCTGAATTTGTGCTCATCTTTCCTAGCCAAGAAAATAAGTTCAAAATCTAACACGTTTGATAATTTTGTAACAAAAGCTATCCTGATGGCCAGTTGGTATCAGTGGACGCTTTACTAACAAAGTGCTGTGGTCATTTCCTAAAACAGACCTGGGACTTGTCGACTCTTTTCCCAGAAACATAAATTTTAACTTTGCAATTTCAAGTCCTTAAAGGGGTGTTCTATAAACTAAGCCACCCACCTGACCTATGGTCTGGAGAAAAACAAGTGTTCATAGATACTCCGCTTACTTCCTCAACGAGGCTGCATCGAGAAAAATGAAATGCTGAACAGTCTCATCAAGTGAAAGTCCGGGGCCCCTGGATCTGTGCTCAAATTATTTGGCTTAAACACAGGCCCTGTGCACTAATCTAGTCCAGTGCTTGCTTCCTTCCTAGCCCTGAAGCTGCTCTGCTTTCCTCAACACAACTGACAAGGGGCAGATTGCCAGAAACTGCCCTGGGACATCTGAGACTTCACGCTGTCCGCAAATAACGACACAGTCCCGACCAGAGGGAGCGCCGCCTGGGAACGGAGATGGGGATCGCGGCAGCCCGCGGAACCGCCACGCCCGGCACTCACGCTGACGATCGTGGAGACGAACAGCAGCACGAGCACTGCGACGTGGAGGACGATGATACCCAGCAACAGCAGCAGCATTCTGGCAAGTTCCGCTCAGCCGAGTTTCTGCCTGCGGGGAGAGCGCCGGATGAGAGGCCGAGCGCGCGGGCCGAGCGGCGAGGGCGGAGCGCGCAGAGGGAGGGTCCTCGCGCCCCGGCGGAACGCTGGGCCTGGCCCCCTGCCCGGCAGCCTGCGGCCCGCCCCCGCGGGAGCGAGCCCTCCCGCCGCCCGCCGCCGAGAGGGGGCAGCAGCCGACTGCAGGATCCCCGCCCCGCGGCCGCCGGGCCCCCTGCTGGGGAACATCTTTTGCTTTTGGAACAAAACAAGCTCTGCGCCCATCTAAATCGCCCCAGGAACAGGGGTTTCCAGAAAGACGAGCAGAGACCACAGCACGCTTCCACCCTCCCCGGACACCTCCCGGGGACAGTCCTTCTGGGGGAAAGGGGAGAGGCCACGTTCTCCGACCTCTGGTTCAGATGGCGAATTCCTCTACGGGGTGGAGGCAGGGGTGAGGGAGGCCGGCGCCCAGATTTCTCTCGGAAGCCTGGGGACACCAGCGGCGTGCTGTGGGGAGATAGCGCCCGGGATGCTGGTTTCCCGGGCCCCGGTGCGCTCCGCATTCCGTTAGTCTCCAAGTTTCCACCCAGCTCTGCCAGCGCCGGGGAGCCGGCCTGGCCCCAGCTCAGCCTGGCGTGTTCACCGGCGGCTGCGAAGAGGCGGTGCGGAGCCGGGGAAGTGCGGAAAGGAAAGCATGGCTTGGGAGGGTTGCCCGGACCCTGAGCTTCCCGCCCACCGTGCGCTTCCCCGGGCAGCCCCGGGGGCGGGAGGCATTCTGCCTGGGCTAGTCCCGCTCGTGCCCCTGGGGGTCCTTCTGCGCCTCTGGCACGAGGAGCCCAGACGCCGACCTGGTCAAGCCTGCGCTCTGGTCTGGGTGCGGCAGGACGCGAGCCCAGGAGCCCGGACCAAGGCGAGATGTATGGCGGGAGGGAGACACAGAGAGTAAAAGGTGGAGTCCGAATTCCAGTGGGTCACAACCCGCGGGACATCCATCCGAAGCAGTATGATCCTACCCCCTCTTTTACAGACTTTGGGGAACTAAAGGCAGGGGGTACCTGTTAGAAGATAAATAAGGCTGAGTCTTTGGGGACCACTTCAGGACAGAGTCTTGGGCCAGGGAGACAACGTTTCAACAAGTCAATTTTTAAAGCAGCCAATCCCAGGCCCTTCCGTTCCTCTCCACAAGCAACACATTCAAAGAAACTGTGGAATGCACGGGAAGAAATAAACAAGGTTTTCTGATGTCTCCCAGAGGGTTTAAATTAAATCCGAAGGCTCCTAGTGCCCGGGAGCGGCAAAAGGAGGACGCTCCGGCACGTGGCTAGGAATTGGGGGACCACAGGAGTCCAGTACTCCCGGGATGTCCACCGCAGGAACTGCTTTGCCAATGCGCCCCCGAGTCGACGCATCTCCAGCAAGGCAAAAGCTGGGCTGCCCTTATCCTCTATCCAGAAACCACCACCACCACCCTCGCCTTGTAAAGGTCCACAGACCATAAGGCACTTATTGTATTCCTCCAAGCCAGCTAGGAACGAAACACGACAGGGCATCCTGCGCTCCTGACAGAAGCCTCAGGGAGCTGGCAGAGCCGCGCCTGCTCTGCGCTTTCTGGCCCCATCGATGAAAGATGCCCATAGATCTCTTCCATCTCCTCCACATTCCCCACCAGATCACTTACAGCCCAAGGAATAACTGTCCCGATGCTCAGGGTGGCCTCGGGCACAAACTCCGGTGCGTTCGCTCCGCTGCTGGCGTCCGCAAAGACCGCTGCGCTGCGGGGCTGCGCGCGCGCGAAGCAAGGGGGCAGTGGGAGGCTCCCGGCGTTCCCTTTAACGGGAACAACGCCCTGTTTGCGTCGCTGCAGTAGGGTGTGTCCCCGGGTCAGCGTGAGCGGGAGGGCGGGACTGGAGAGGAGAGGGGGCAGGACAAAGGGAGGGCAGGAGACAGTTACTTGGCCTTAAATGCGCCTCAAGAAAAAGTTGATCTCTGCAAAACCGCAGCGACTTTCACTCGAAACTAGAGGCGACAGAGCTTTCTCACCTCCCACCTCCCCTGGCTCCACTGAGCTCGTGGAAACTAAGTGTTGACCGATAAACCGGCCCCTCCGCCCCCTCAGCCCACAAGGGAAAAGCCGCGGGAGGTCGCCCGCGGGTGCCCAGAGCTGGGCTTCGAGGTGCACCGACGCCAACTGCGCCACGCGGGGGCTGGGTGCCCCTCCGGCTGGTAGGGGGAGCAGGAAGCGCTGGAAGTCGTCCCTCTCCGCTAAGGTCCTGCGCACCTAGCCTGCCCTGTCCTCGCTGTACACACCTGCAGCACATGGGTCCCCACTATTAGTGTCTGCACCCAGGAAGTGTGCCGGCTTCCTAGGATTCAAGGGGATGGATCTAGGGGGTCCCGCTGGGATAAGAATTAGTGGGAGGAGAGTCCGGCCGATCACCGGACAGCAGGCCTTAGGATCGGGCTCCTCCTAGCCTGGGCAAAACCAGACCACAATGGAATACGCTCCAGGCGAAGTTGCCTGCATCAGTCTGGCTTGGCTCTCAGCCTTGGCCGGCGTCCTGACCAGAGATGGGGTGGGGGGGAAGAGAGAGGTGGCCATTTGAGGTGGGGTTGGAGCAGCCAAGGAAATCAGCTGATTCATAGCGGGCTAGATGTGGTCCGCCCAGCGTTGTAGAGAGAGGCCAGGCCTTCTATCCTTGGCAAAGGTGCGCCCTGCTAAGACGCTCGGCGCAGGCCAGCCTTGATGCATGGAGCAGGGAGCAGGAATGTGAATGTTAAGTGCCTTTGCCTACAAACGCAGCAGTTCACAAACACACACATACACACAAACACACACACACACACACACACACACACACACACACCTCCCTACCTGCTCTGCGTCATAAAACCTCATAACCCTAAATGATTTGAATAATTCCATATTATTTTACCGTTTGAAAAGAGCTGCTATATTGGCTAATTGTATATTCTTACTCTTTAAAAAATAAATTTGAAAAATTCTTCAAACAATGATCCTTTTAAAACTGTTATATTGTCAGATTAAAAAGAAACACACGTAAAAATTGAATTCAATGCACATTATATGACAGGCACTTAACAGGGACTTTATACACATGATTTGTAAGAGGCAGGATGGTACAATGGTTAGGCACGCTGGCTCTGGGCTCAGACAAACCTGATCTTACTCCTGTTGTGAATTTGAGCAATTGCTGAAGTTCAATAAGCTTTGGTTTTCTCAGGTGCAAAAGGCACTAATAATGCCTGCTGCTGTTGATTAAAGGAGACAACAACGTGTACAAAGCAGTTAACATAGCGTGTGGGACATAATAAGGGCCAGTGCCCAAATCGTCACTACCATTATTATATCACATTTAACCCTCACGTCAACCCTTCAAGGAAGCCCCGACCACTTCTGCACTAAAATAGCTTATAACTCTCATAATTATGTATGTGTGTGTGTAGTTATATGGAAGCGCATATGCAAGTAGAAAGAAAAGAGTAAAGAAATGGAAGTGTTTTCTCTCCTCCATGGGTCATTTTATAATCAGATTTGCTCTATAAATTAGTGCCTTGTTTTATGCCATTTGGACTTAAATTTATTTAACCAAAATTTATGTGGTCAGTACATACTCAGTACTGTTCTAAGTAAGCACTTTACAAATATTAGCATATTTAGCTCAAGATTTGCTTCCCTTCCCGTTTTTAAATAAACTTTTTAATGAAATACAATACACATCCAAAAAAGTGCACATGTTGTAAGACACAGCTCCCTCCTTTCTTTCGAACCCAATTTTTTAATCAATAACCACCCAGGTCACAGCCACACCATAAGCTGCCAGACAGGTGGACCCATCCGTCCTTCACTGCCTCTGGCTCCCTGCCTGGCTCCCAGAGGTGGAAGTGAAAATATTATTCAGCGTATGCACATGCTGACCAGGCCAGCCACACCCAGGGCTCTGCCACAGGTGGAAGCTTCTCCCTACCCTGCTCACCAAGACCACCTGCCAGCTGTGTGCACACAGCTGTTGTCCACCAGGGAAAAAGCATCTAGGTCCCTTTCTCCTTCCAATCTGGACGTCTTAGGGTTTCTGGATGCTCCCAGGCAGCCCCTCTGTCTCCCCAGCCAAAGTATATATCCAGCTCTTAAGCAAGGATTTTAAAAATCCTCTGACTGACTCTCCAGTAAATTCCAACACAGATGCACTGTCTCCACTGCAATCCTTTCCATTTGCGGTTTGCAGGGAGTGGGGACTTAGGCAGCTCTCTGTAAAGCATAAGCCCACACCACCCAGAGGCACGTTTGCCAATAAAACTCACCAGGCCAGTGTAACCCCTTCCTCCAATGGATTTCTTTGCAGTCAAGTGTAAGGGATGCTACAGCAGTGCCCTCCCCGCAGGGCAGCTGGAGACCTGCAGCTGACAGACTCTGAGCCTGCTACTTCCAGCCGGGCTCCCCGAGATGTTCCCTGGTGGTGCTCCCTGTGACTGAAGCCAGACCAGGCGTCTTTCCAGTTTATTCAGGGGCTAGTCCAATGCTAGTATATGTCATGGTGGCCTGAGAGGTTCTCAGCCTCTACTATTTAAAGAGACAGTGTCCAGTGCTGTGTGCTTTCTCGGAGAGAGTAATCCCGAGAGGCCCTGCAGGGCATGGGGAACCTGGAATCGGCAGGAGAAGTGCTTTGTGTATGCCCAAAACCTGTCATGCCAAGGCTGTTCTTCCTGGAAGTGCCTGCCTGTGTAATAGCAAAGAGGTCCCACAGACTCTCAGTGCCCGCTCTCCCCTTCCAGTGAACTCTGTGGAGATGAAATATACTGTGTGAAGGGCCTGTGTGCATAGCCATATATGTATGCAGATAGGGTTCATTTTAAATCAACATCATCATTTTAAGGAGCTCAAACATTGCACAGAGAATCTCTCACAGCGTCGCCCCAGAGAAGCTAATGTTCAGAATTACCAAATCAAATCCCCTTGCTCTAACCCCCTGGTTGGAAAGGTGTCTGCTACCTGACCTGTTTGCCTAGACCCCACCCCAACTTAACCACACTGGCCTCGCATTAGAATGAAATTTAGGGAAATGAGTTCTTCCTGCTCTGTCTTTAACGTGCCCTTAATTAGTCGTTACTGAATGTTGACCTTCATGAGATAATTCAATTCAAGTAAACAAACCTCTACTGGAAACATTCTAACCTGTCAGGCAGGAGAGGCTGGGAGAGCAACTGGAAAGGCTTGGGGAGGGAGGCAGGGAAGGCATAGCAGCCATCAGGCATGCACCCACCCTTCCGTTCTCTGAGTCCTCCATCACCAGAACTGCTCCTAGGTGGGAGCTCCAAGACTAAGGGACTAGGTTTCTCTGAATGAGTTTCCTGGAATTCTAGCAATTTCCCCATTTCTTATGTCAGGGGTAGCGACCCGCAGGGTTCAGGGAAGTCCCCCCACTGCCTTAGACATTTTATGTTTCACTGGGCTCCCCAGTCAGGAGGGGCTCTCAAAGGCTCTCTCTCCTGTTCTGCTCACAGCCAGCATCTTTCTGGTCCAAATATGGCAGTTTCGCCTTTCTCCCTTTGCTTAGGTCATTTTTTTTCCCCAGCAGTGGTTCTCAGCCCTGGCTGCTCTTTAGAGTCACCGGAGAGCTCTGCAAATGACCTAGCCTAGGCCCGTGGTCTGGGACGGGCTCAGGTATAGGCGATGTCCAATGCTTCCCTTCCCTGGATGTTTTCTTGTCCAGCCAGATTGTCATCTGGGGTTAGACGGGGCCTAATTTCCTTCCAGCTCCCTTCTGCTGTGGGACCCAAACTGAGGTCAGACACAGGGTGGGCTGCAGTACTGTGCAAGTGTGGCTCAGTCTTGCCAGACAAAACAGGGGTGTGTGTGCACGAGAGAGAGAGGAGCCTCCCTCCATCCTCTTCTGACACGATCTGTGCAGGGGCTGGGGACCAGACAGCATGGTTTTCCCAAGCTCTCCAGACAGCCCCTCCCTGGGCGCTGCCACGTTCAGATTCTGAAGGTTGCATGACACCAGCTGCTGCCTCTCAGGCCAGGACTAAGCCTGGAGACATCTGAGAAGATTATTTCTGATCCAAGAGCTGAAGATTCAGAGGAAGGGGGCCTTGGTGGGGGGGAATGGATTTTCTTCTAGCCAGAGAGGGCCAATCTGATCAGCTCCCCCATCTCCATGAGCTCCACATTCCTGGACCTGCTCTCCTGGCCTCTGTCTCTTTTGCCCCCTGCTCCCGTCACCAGCAACCAAGCCTGGGAGGCCCTGCTGGCTGCTGGCACCAGAGCCGGTCACTGCTGCATTCCACTGGCCCCGTCTACCAGGTTCCAACACACTTGTCTCCACCTATCTGGGCTCAGCTCTCTGCCTCTCCATGGAGCCAGCTGAGGAAATGCCTTCCTGGTCCCCTCTGTCCCACTTCTAGTAGTCCTGTCCTCAGCCACCCCAGCATCTGTGTTGAGCAATGTGTCTGCAGAGCCCTGGAGAATATCCCACTGGGCTCCTTGCCATAAGAATCACATAAAATAGTCACCAAATAACATTTTGTATTATTATTAACTACCCTCCCCCTTTATAGGTGGGAGAGATGAAAACTGGGACACTTCACTGAGGAAACACAGTTAAGTCACATCAGACTGGCTATTTCCAATACCTGAGCTTCTCTGCTGCACCATGTTCCATCAACTCAGCAGAAATAAATCCTCCATGTCATTGATGTTAATAATAATAAATAATAGCTCATATTTACTTGGTGCTTACCACGTGCCAGGCATCGTCCTCAACATTTTATATGAATCAAATCATTAAATCCTGACAGCAATGCTATGGAAGGTGCACCACTA